TTTTAGGTTCAATATTATAGAAAACTCAAAAAGTACCAGTTAAACCTATTACCTCCAATCTTGAACCAACCATCCGACTATATTACCCCACACACGGATAGAATTTTCAAAATCAGAGTTCCTTCCAGGAGCGAGTGGTGTAGGGGTAACTTACCGATCGAATATACCACCAGAATCTTAAAAGGTTCTAAAATTAACTGCGATATCGGTTGTGGTGTCTTCTGTGAAAAAAATGGGGTAAGTATATCTCACCGTCTTCACCAACAACTGTAGTGTCTTTCAGGCTGAAATACTTGCGATAAAGTTAGCCTGTAGGGTACTACATGACCTCAATATTCGCGGAAACATAGGAATTTTAGTACTATCACTTCCCTATTAGTCACACAATGGTCGCCTGTCTGACATTATCCTTGTTTGGGCCCCTGCGCATAGGGAAATGAACAGGCAGATGATCTTGCCAGAAAATTATCTGCTCTTGATATCTCCAACGCCGCTTCAGTAGCAACTCCGCTAGGTTTTATCAAGAGCAGTATCATCAGATTCTTTTTTTAGAAGACTGAAAATAGGTGGTAAAACTGGACACATGTAAAGAGACCAAGTTCTTGTGGACCTCCTTCAATGAAAAACACAAAAGACTCCTTTTAAACCGGAGCAGAGGGGATATATCGAGGTTGATAGCAGTAATAACAGGACACTGGGTGCTAGGCAGACATGCAAGTCGGCTTGGGCTCCCCTTCAATAAACACTGTCGCAGTTGCAAAGACAGGGAAAAGGAAGAAACGGTGTTCCATCTTCTCTGCGAATGCTCTGCTCTAGCTGTTAAGAGAAAACACTTTCTTGGTAGCTACTTCATATCTAACGTTAATGAGATACATATATGGGTTTAGTCTTAAAGAAATTCTGAGATTCCTCACGGCTACAGGCTGGATCTAACCTCTATATAATAATACATCTGACAAGTGGATTGGTCCGTTCAAAACGGAATCTCTTCGACTCTACTTGACTGTTCGCGCGCAGTGAACCACCACTTTAACCAACCAGTTAAAGAACGAGAAAGCACTCCGTGCTGTACATCTCATGATTCTTAATTCAATATTATAGAAAATTCAGAAAGTACCTTTTGAAGAACGAAAAAGTCCCATTTATACAGTTATCATTCCACTTTCGATCGGAATGGAATTCTGTGACAGGCCTGATAGTTTCTCATTTATTCTGTGCTGCATATGATTAATTTCATGTTTTTAGGTTCAATATTATAAAAAAGCCAAAAAGTACCTTTTGTAGAACGAAAAAGTACCAAAGAAGTCCTTGGTATTGGAGTTACCACATTTGTATATTTAGTGTTACTAAATATGCAATTTTTTTTTAAATTTTGTTAACTTGGTGTACTTTCTTAGTTTAGGAGATATTTTTACCCTCTAAATGGTTGAATTTTCAATAATCCTGTCTTATTGGACCTATTTGTCAGGGGACCAATTTCCTGTCCAAATTTCAACTTTGTAGCTTCAACCGTTTAGGCTCAAATACGTTTTTTTTTTAACATTAGAACATGATTTTTCAAAAACTTAAAGTTTGACCAGATTCGGACCTAGCGCAATTTAATCCTTTAGAAAAATATAATTTTATCTATGTGTTTCGATTTTTTTCAAATTTTGTTGGCCTGTGTAATGGAACAAATTCTACAGAGTTTAATCGATTAACAAAACATATATACGAATGCTAGGATCAAGTATTGGATAAAGTATTTGCATACTTTAGGTTGTAGAGGGGATGTATATGTAGAACGTAGAAAATCTTATAGAGTCATCTATGAAGTGATTAGAAACTCAGTTTCCTGGAAGTAGTACCTTAGGGTATTCTAAGGAATGTAATATCGGTAATAACATCACTCTGAAGATTTTGGATCTAAGCCTAACACTCGCCTACATTCGCGTGAATCCGTTCATTAACATCTGTTAACGTCATCCACTTTGCACATTTCGTGATAGCACGGATTTCCACATGGAAGATAGTGTTTCTGGTTTCCGGGTATTTTATGTTGTTACAAACAAATAAACATACTCATAATAACCTCCGCATTATGTAGCTTTTAAAAATGTTACTTTTCGATAAATGATTTCTTTTCATGAATAACGATGGACATTTTGAATTTTTTATTTATTTATATTTAAACCTACTTGAGTGAATGTTTGTTTTTTCACAGTCCGTTCATAAGTACAATATTAATTTAATTGTTAAGATGAAACCGTAGGAGTCTAGTTAATAACAACATGCCTGTTGAATACATTGATTTATTTTGTTATGGAAACACAAGCAGCAGTATTGGTTGCCTCATAACGTGGCAACTATGTACATAAGACTTAATAATTTTTTTTTTCTTATGGAATGATGCAATTTCTACATCAACAAATTTTCATGTTTGCATAGATTTACTATTATAAAAATCATATTTATGTAAAAATTTGGTGTATATTTTATATACATATTACACATTTGATTACTTATACATGCATATGTACATATCTATGTACTTATACATAATATACTTACAAAAATATGCAACAATTATCAATACTATAGTTAACTAAAGTAAATATTTACATATATTGTTAAAACCACAGCCACGGGTAAGTATTATTGTGGTCTGTCCACAATGGTTAGAAAAAAGTTTCCGGTACAATTGAAACAGCTGTTAGATAATGAATGCTTTGGAGCTTATTGGAAAATCTCTTAAGCTTTTTTCCAAGACAAAAATGAACAAAGTAAAGAGCAGGCAAAACAATATGTGCTTAAATAACTTTACTCTCAAAGTGCAGAAGCTTTTCAGATAAATTGTAAAAAGTTTAAATGTTGACCGTGATTTTTTTGGAATTAAAAACACTCCAACGGTCTTATTACGAATCGAATATGAAAGAAGAATATTAATAATAACCAAAGCGAACTATATCAACAGATATCGGAAAACAAGAAAGAAACAAATAAGAAACTATAGCAGGGCATGGCCGACCATATGATACCCTACACCAATTGCGAATATTAAATGTGAATTATTTTCAATAATAACCTAAACCTACATAGGTTTCAAATAATGTCTGTTCATGTTATATGCTGACTAGGAGAAATAAAAGACCGAATACAATGGAGCTTAATGGAGTCAGAAAGTGATTCTGAACCGACTGGTATACTAATATTATTGAGTGTTACAAACATCAGCACATTATACCGACTTTTGGGTAGATAGTAGTATGTTAGACGTTGTTAAGATATAAAAGGCCCAAATCGAAAGGTCCGGTTGTATGGGGGCTAGGGCAGAAATTGAGCCGATCCTTAAAAAATTTATTGTTAGGAATTATGTTTATATAAAACTTATTTGTGCCAAATTTTATCGTGATAGTAGTGGTTATAAGTGAATCGTGGACGTTCAGGGGCCGGTTGTATGGGGGCTAGGTGAAATAATGGACCAATTTCAATAGCGTTCGTCCTTGGACTAAAAGAAGCGCACGTTCCAAATTTCATAAAATTATCTCAAAAATTGCGACCTGAGAGTGCGCACAAGGTTTACATGGACACACAGACAGACGGACGGACATTGCTTAATCGACCCAGGAAGTGATTCTGAACCGATTGGTATACTTTAAGGGGGGTGTAGTACCAATATTTTTGGGTGTTGCAAACAACAGCACAAACGCATAATACCCTACCCACTATAGTGGTGTAGGGTATAAATATATGTATGTATGTTAAACGGAACTAAAAACTACTGACCCCGATATCGAGCATGTAATCAAAGATTACCCAGTCCTCCACAATATTCCCGTATTAAGTCGAGGAATATAGAAACTCCTTTCGTATATATATCCATCTGTATAAATGTCAAAAGTGTTATTATCAAAAGTCACGTCCGATAACAACTGTCAATGTTATGTATTATGACGACAGTATTTCTCAAAACTGCTCTTCAGCTGACAGCCGAGTTAAGTGCCTACTGGTTGGCCATGATGCAACAGTAAAAGAGAGCATTCGATGTTGTGCTCCATAATTAACCTGTAATCGAAGAATTTTAGCAGGTAGCTTCTTAGACTTTTGTCAAAGGTCCTCCAAATGGTTTGCATACGTATGTACATATATTTAGTTTCGATGATAGTTTGGGGATCAGAATAATAACCAGATTCTATAAGATCAGAAAGTCTAAGACAGTAAATCATCAAAGAGGTATCTCCTAACCCATTCAGATCCACTAAAAATTACATTATTAAAACCTACAACGAATGAAGCAGAGCCACAATCTCTCGATTTGCAATTTATGTTAAGGTGTTGAAATACAAAAAATCGGTCGATATTTATCATTGATATCAAGAACAGAGATAAGATTAATTAAGATGGCAGACTTATAGACCTGAAATAGTTTAATCTAGTGTAGAAGGCCTGTCCTCCTTTTATGATAATGACCGCTGTAAAACAGATTCAATATTTCGGGATATATGACCACTCAAAGCTGATTATTTATTTCAGAAATGACCAGGGCCTAATTTAGTCCGAACTATGCTAAAAAGGGCCTTCAGTCTTCAAGCTCGATTTCAGTTTATTTTTCATTTATAAGGAATTGAACTTTCACACGTGTTCTCGAGAAGTGTGCTTTGTGTAAAGCTTCAGGAAGTTGTTCTTCGCTGCTAGACCGACACTCTACAGAATCATTATTGTATTGACCGCTTGCATTGGATCCAGGCAATTTGCACGCAAGTAGTTTTTGGATTAGTGTGATGTAATAGATTACGTGGTTCTCACCTAAGACGTCGCCTTGTTAATTTGAGTATATTTGTTCGATATATTTGGGTTAATATACGAATGGTCCTGGTCCTTTGTGGAATATACTTTACATATGTGTAAGAAATAGGCTCAATTTTTACTGGTATAAAAACGTTGTTTTATAACTAATTACTTAAGTAATTACATGATTATACGTTTATTAATGGACTAGATTTATTAGGACTTAATTAAAAAGTAAATGTTCAAAACAATTTAACAAATGACTAGATAGTAATTAAATAAAAAATAAAACTAATTCCTAATAAATAGAAGTAGCAAATATTGCTTATTTATAAACATAATAAAATTTCATTGTTATCGATTTGTATTTACATTTAAACGATCCCTTAATATGGTCTTAATAGTCTCCTCTTTTTGAGCTAATTTCTTTTCTAATTTATCTATTTCCTGCAGGTGTCTGGCATGTAGTCCCCGTACCTGAGACTCTTTATGCTTGACAATGGTTTCCAAACGTTTAAGAGCATCCCAGGTAGTTTGTAAATTGGCTTGACCCTCTTCGAGTTTTTGGGCCCATTGTAAAGCAATACGTAGTCGAGCTTTTAGACGATCACGAGAACGTTTGACTTTTTCCACCGAACGTTGGAGAGAAACATTACGTTTACGTAAGTCGTTTGTTTGGGAAAGGTGCTCTTCGAGTTCTTGTTTAAGCTTGCAGTTGTCTTGCTTAAGTTTTTCTATTTTCATGTCCACATTGGAATTACGTTCCGTAAGTTCACCAATGGTACGTTCTAATGAATGTTTCTCTTTGCTGTGCTGCTGTCGTAACTGCTCCAGAAGTTCTTTGCATTCCTGAAGCGATGTGGCAATGGTGTCTTGTGGCAGAGCAGCCATACCCTTCAGTGAGGCCAATTCGGCTTTACAGCGTGTATAGGCACTTTGCAAGTGTTCCATGTCCAAAACTAAAGTTTGAATCTTCTGCTCATAGCAATGCATTACCTCAACAAGTTTTTCTTTGGCCAAATCAGTTTTTCTCGTTTGAGAATCTGCTTTTTGTCGGCATATTTCCAATTGAGCTTGCAGTCTAGCTCTTTCTTCTCGCCAATTACCTCCATCCCGTTTTAGATTCTCTATTTCCTGTTGCAAACGATTGTTTTCCTCTATAACGGTTTTCAATTCCCCCGTAAAATGCTCAAACTCCTGTTTGTATTGTTGTATTAAATCCTCTTTATCGCGTAGCATTTCATCATAAGCCTGCAGTAGAGGCGACAAAGTGTGAGTACGTAAACGTCCTTGTTGCCACTGTGAAATGGAAGACTTGGCATCTGAGTTTTGTTGTGATTTATCCTCTGGTTTTGTTCCTTGTCTAAAACAATCTTGATAGCGTTCTATTTGTACATTTAAACGATAGACTAGAGTTTTCATCATTTCCACATCGGCTGTTAACACTTTGTTATCCTCTATGCGTTGGGACAACTCCTGGTCTAGCTTGTGACAGTTGTTGCAATCCGCTATTTGACGTTGTAAGGCAGCAATACGCTGCTCTAGGCATTTGGCATCGTTAAGAAGACGTTGATTTTCATCGGCAAACTGTTCATTGAATTTATGCAGAGTGGCCAAACGTTGCAGTAATTTTTCCATTTGTTGGTCTTTTGATTGAAGCTAAAGAAAGATTGGTTAATAAAGTTTAATTAAGTTTAACATTTAGAATCGTTTAATTACCAATTCATTGAAGTAACTGGTGTGTTTAGCAGTTTTCCCACATCTATCCTCTTTGGAACCTTCTGCACTCTGAGAACGCCTATTGAAATTGCCCGAAAGTGTTTGCAATGTTTTCTCTTTTGTGCGCTTTTTATGAACCTTACGATGACTACCTTCTTCGTGTGCGCCTATTTGTGTATCCGATTGGTCCAGATCGGTTATAATAACATTTCTTCTTGTAGTAGTTGTCATTTTTTATGAAGAGACATTTAATTATTTCCAATTTTTCCTTTTTTTCTGATATACAAATTATTATTGAAATTATTACCACCCTAAATTTTGTGAACAGTATGTCTCCGTGTATTTCTGTTAATCGAAACATTTTGTGGCAGTAAACAGAACACAATGTGGTTGCCCGTTACCATGGTAAACTAATTTAGTTTATTTACAGAGTATTGGCGCAATAAATTCTTTGTTTTTCCAAGGGGTTGTTTGTCGTGGTTAAATCTTGTTATAGTTTCAATATTGATTTAGTCTAATTTTGCATAAATCTATTAAACAAAGATACTTTTGTCCCGTTAAGGAATTTCATTAAATTTTAATACATATTTTTGTATTCGTTGTCTAATCTTCTACAGCAATACTGTTCAAAAAAGAAGTCGATCAAAATCGGGGTTCGCCCAATAATCGAGGGAATTATAGCCGCATACCAAAATTTGTCATTACTAGAAGATACAATTCTTATATCAAACATACATAACTAATGTCTTTAAAATGCATATAACAAATCAAAATATGAATTAAATTAAATTAGATTAATTACTTCAAAAAGTTCAAAATTGATTCCTAGAAAAAAAATCACCTCCTTAAGACATTCTTCTAACAATAAACTACTACACATTCTAATTTGAAATTATTACTTTTATTCTCATTTTAACAAAACAATTTATAAAATTAATATCGCAGCCTTAAGAGATGCGTTTAGTTGTTGTGGGGTTCTAAAATTAGAAAAAATCGTGTACAAATTAAAATTAATAAAAAAAAATTACATCAAATAATTTACATTGGTATCAAAAAATTATAAATGATTAGAATAGTAACTTAGAAATAAGCAACAGATGCCAGACATTATTTTGCAAATTGAGTCGTTTGCAATATATCGCTTACATCTTTAGTAGAAACATTTTAGATTCTAGTTATTTTCATCATCTTCTTTTCTTTAAAGTGTCATCATATCACACCTCAGGGGACACTAATTAATGGGAAATGTTATTTGCAAATTAGCAAATTGTCCAAATTTTTCCAATACACCTGGATAAACGGAACGCATTAGTTGCTGATAGGCCTCATCGCCCAATTGAGTGCGCAGGTTATTCAATTGCCATTCGATGTATTGTGGTAGGGAGATTTTGTGAACCGGATCTTTGAGAGACAATTGCCTGCAGCGATCATAATGATAGGTTTTATAATCGAAATCGTCCATGGTGCAATAACTGCTCGTATCTAAATCATACTCATCGACAAAAACCAATGAATCACAGTACTTGACCTGTTTAGTTTCATTTGTTTTATTCGGATTATTGGCATCTTCCGGCTCTTCCTCATCTTCATCCTCGCGCATTACCTCAAACAATGTATCTCTAATGTTTTGCATGATGGCGGGAAATCGTTCCAACACTATGGGATTATTAGAGAATATTGACAGAAAGGCCAAACAGAATAGTTTAAGTTTTTCCAACTCTGTCACCAAAGGCATCTTTGTGATCCACACATCCAATATCTTTTCCAAAGCATCTGGCTGCTGCAGTTCTTGTATAACTTCCATAAACACCTGTTGACTTATTAACAGTACACGGGCCACCATTGTTAGATACATGCCCATCAGCATGGGAAAATCTTTGTTACTGTATACTTGTCGGAATATGTATGGTAAAAGAGGTCGTACTAGCTCCAAGCCATAGCTAGCATCTGTCTTTAGACAAATCTCTAGTACTTTCAACATCAAACTTATGCCTTCGGGACGTATATCATCGAACATACGATTGCAAAAGTCTATAAATGAACGTCCATAACGTTCTAAGAAGGCATGGGCGTCTAGCAAGATGTATGCCTGTATTAGCACCAATACGGTGCGTAAATTTTCCGAAGACATTTCTATAATGGGCATTATGTTTCGACACAAATTCATGAGATGCTCGGACATGCTGGTCGAATTTTCCACCACAGCCACCCACAGTGATAGGCCTTCTTCGATAAGATAGATGTGAGAAGGTTCCTGCAAGTTAAATTAATGAATATGATTTGAAATTAGCAAATAAAGAAAACCTTACCTGTATATCAGTACTCAGAGCAATAACACTGTATAAGAATGGACGCATTTTCTCGGGAATATCACGTATGGCCTTAACAACTTGTTGTAGTGTGCATATAATGGCACAACGTAACATACTATAATCTTCACTCTCCTTCCACAGCAAAGGTAAATATGATATCAAATTATCAGCTTGCGGTTCAATATTATCACTCATTTTCTCCACCAACGATGACATGATTGTCAAAACTTTCATTTTAGTATCGCATTCTTTCGATTCACGCAACAGCACAAACAGAGCATTAAACGATGGTTCCAAGTAGGGCAAAAATGCTTCGGGTGCAAAATCAAAGTCTGACACTAAAATTGACAGCGTTCTAGATGAAGCCAGACGAATGGACATATCTTCAGAGGGACGCAATAAATGTAAACAAGCCTCATAAGCCAGAGGTCGTAGGTCTCGTGAGAATTTCACACCAGCCCATTCTCCCAGCAGCCAAATTATGCGTCTACGTAATATTCGAAAATTGTCTGAGTCAATTTTTAACTCATTCAATAGCTGACCACTGAACCAGGCATCAAAGTCCAGTTCATTGAACAAATGTAGAGACGCTTGTCCGGCGGCATTGTAAATTGCATCTTTTAGTAGAATGTCCTTAAGATCGGAACTCGCTGTCAGCTGTATTTGTTGGGCTTTCTGTATGTATTTAACCACTTCCGCTGACATTTGTGTTTGGTAACTAGCAAAACAAGCAGCAAATAATGTTTCCACACATGGTCTCAAGGCATATTTCCATGTGTCGCCACCATTGTCATCTTGAGCAAACTCCTCGGGATCTTCTAGCCATAGGTCAAGTTCAATTTGTGTTAGTATAAAATAGTGTGTTATAATCTTTTCGCAAATGTAGCTCAAACGTTCTTCAGTGAAGAATTTCTCCAGCGAGGTGCGTATTTCCAATTCTCGATTATTTTCATTGTCCCACGAGTTGTCGATCTTTTGCCAATAGAACGGAGACATCAGACCCTTCATCAGATTAATACAGTGAATGGCAAATTGGCGAAAATTTATTATATTATCGGTGAATATAAGATAAGCACTTATGTGGAAGACATGGTCGAATGAGAACTGCAAAGCCATGGGGGCAAAATTCTTAAAAGCCTCGGCATGCATTTCATGGAATTCCAATAGAGTCTTCATCTGTTTCAATATTAATTTCTCCAATAGTGCTATAATTTGTTCGTCCGCATTTAGTTGTCGCAACTCAAAGCGACAATTCAAACACTGCTTAAGACGCTCGAATAGTTTCTCGACGAAACGCAGGCATATTTCGGAAGATTGTGGTTTCGAATAACCAAATATAGTTAATTTACGCAAAATTCTAGTGCATAACACCGAGCGTTCCAAAGTGGTTTTGGCCAGGAATGGCGCCTCCTTTAATTGGTGGAAGAACAGTGGACAAAGTGTATCCCATAGTTGGTAAATAAATTCATAAATATTGCTGGTAAGCTCTTCGAAAACCTTCTTTTCGGCCATCATGCGACGGGAGGCTAAAGCCTTGATTACATGATGCAAAGTTAAAAGTACTCTTTGCTGTTCACCGGAATCGTAAACATCACAGCTACCAACATTGGCAGCAAACTCTTGCAGACGCTTCAATAGTTCCGGTATCAACTGAGGCCAATCACGTGGACAATCTATGCGAGCTATACGAGCCATTAAAACAGCTATTTGTAAGGAAATCTGAGGTATGGGTTCATTGGCAAAATGTACTAATAGTAAATCCCTAATTTGTTGCTTCTCCTCCTGCGACAATTCCTGGCGAGTTCCTTTACGCCAGAACTTGTTTATACCATTCTTCAAATACACCACCGCCATCCAGCGCACATTCACATCCAAATGTGGTGCAATGGATGGATCCATTCCACCAACAGCCGCTAGACATATGCGTGTTAGTGTCGTGAAAAAACCCGGCTGTCCTTCCCATTCGGCCAGCTGTAGTTCAGCTTTACGTACCACTTCGTGATTGCTATCGGTGGCTGCGCACAGCGCTTGACACACCATTAGTTCAGGTGATGATGGCTGCATATCCATGATGGATGGTCAAATAACTGCAACAAAAGAAACACACAATTATGATTCGCATCAAAGGTGTGGCAAATACCTGCTAAAATCCTCCTTATTTCCAAGATTTTCAGCTACACTTCAATACTTACATGTAGAAAACATTAAATATATCCTTATTGCCGGATATTGATTGTGTTAGTTGCGAAAAAAATCGAATATTTTTCGTGAAAATATGAAGAAATAATTGGCAACAAAAAAATTTTCTGCAGAATTCGTGATGTTTTGTCGGCAGAGACCTGCGCCGACGAAACTTGACAGCAGTAACGACGGCGAATGACAATAAATATTTCAACGGCGGCTTGATATATAATTTCAACCGGCAAAAGGAAAATAGTATTTATTTGAACAAAATTATTGTATTTTGAAGATCTTTCAAACTTTTTTAAATCGATTTATTTCGACTTTGTAAATTTTGTTTAAATATAAGCTTCTGTGTGTACAAATGAAAACAAAAAAATACGGATGTATTGAATTATTATTATTAATCTTAAATTTTAGTCTGATTTTGTTATTACATACATTTTTTACAATATTGGTCGTAGAGGACTAAAAATGGATGAATGTGTTTACTATGTCCGTCCGTAACAAAAAATAGTTTTTTCCAATAATTTTTTTTAATATTGACTTTTTCCCAATTCATAAATTTTTTCGACTTATAACAATATCTACCCGAAAATATATGAGACAAAATATATACTTTATGTTCGACGTTGGTTTCTAAAGTACCTCAGCGGCTAGACTGAGTCGTCTTCTAACCGAATTAACACATGACTTATCTCATAAAGATCTCAGCTGCTAAAAAGAGTGTGTTCAGTGAAATATATACTTAGCGCGACATCTAACGATAAGTAGCAAAATCTTATTAAAAAATCTTGTTATAATATTTTTGAATTTAAAAATTATAAAATAGAAAATATTTATTTTATTAATTTGCTGTCATATTGTGTACTACTCTATTAAAAATATTATAAAATTATAAAATATTAAATATTTATTTTATTAATTTGCTGTCATATTGTGTACTACTCTATTAAAAATATCTATGTCACTGTAGAATAATATAGAGAATTACAAAGTGCATTTCTTTTTAGATTGTAGTGGCTAAGATACAGCATTATTTGATAGAAACTTTTACAAAGATCTGTTTCAACCAGCAGACTTATTATTATTTTAAGTTGCAACTTTTAGAATATCATCATTTTACTACCTTTTCTTTAAAGAATTTATCGGGAAAGACTAAATGTACATTCGTATTCTATGGGCTATAACAAAATGGAATTGGTGTATGATAACTGCATACTTATTGTGTACATACAGTGTCTCTCATAATTATTCGAATTTGGGTAAACTATAAAAAGAAACCAAATTTAATAATATATTTTGTGTGCAAAATAAATAAATTAATTTGTTATATTGTCTAGATAGTCCTTATGTTTGATATCACGCTTTTTAAAACTTGAAAAATTTGCATTGACTTAAATTAAATGTGGATTTTTTAAAAAAGTCCATGAAATTGCCTCTCAAAAGTATACGAATTTTTCCTGTATTTCATATTTGATCATATTATACGCAACACAAATTTTGGAATCGAATGGTTTTTATGCGTAATATTGTTTTAAGGGGTTACTATCTACGGAAAGGATATATTTTTGGCCCATTTGGTCCACAATTTTGGGGAATTTGTACCCTGTTTTCATGTAATATCATTAAAATGGCTATTTTTGGCCATAATTGTAAATTTTTCTCCTTTTTTCCAGAGATAAAACAAAAATTTGATATTGGGACTTAAAAGACCCCTTGGGGTATCTAAAAATAATATTTTTTGTTACAAGAATCTGTATTTAAACTTTCCAAGATAAATTATTCGGATCATTTTTCTGTCGCTAATTCAATATATTGGAACTTAAGTCCATTTTTATAATACTAGGATCAACTATTTTCCGGGAAAGTTTTCTGGTATATATTCTTTTAGATATCAGCTTTTATACATTTTAAGTTTTCAATGTGTTGTGGAAGTGTACAACTCCAAAACATGCCTCGAAGAAGCACCATTCAAAATAGTAAAATCATAATTTTTATATACCAATGGCCTCCATGCTGCATGGCACGATATCATTATGATCACATCAAAAATGTTGATATGTGTTTAAATATTATTTACTATGATCAAATTAAAACCAAAATTTAGGACTTACAGTGTTATTGTAACGGGCAACATAAGCGTGAAAGTTACGAGTAGTAAAAACTGAAATCTACTATATAGGATGACGTTTTGTTAAGGCATGTTTTGGGGTTGTATACCGCTATAATATATTGAAAATTTAAAATACATTAGTGCCAATATGTACATCAATATACACTAGACAACTTTGTCGGAAAATATCGTCCCTAGAGGTACGAAAAGGGACTTATGATCCAGATAATTCAATTAGAAACTAAAAAACGATACCAAAAATACATCTTGGAACTTTTAAGTACAGACCCTTATAACAAAAAATATTATTTTTAGATACCCTATGGGTTCTATTAAATTCCAATATTAAATTTTGGTTTTATCTCTGGAAAAAGGGTGAAAAAATTACAAATATAGCCAAAAATCGCCATTTTAATGATATTACATGAAAAGAGGGTACAAATCCCCCAAAATTGTGGGCCAAATGGGCCAAAAATATATCCATGCGGTTGATAGCAACCCCTTAAAACAATATTAAGCATAAAACCATGCGATTCTAAAATTTTTGTATCGTATAATATGATCAAATATGAAATACAGGAAAAATTCGCATACTTTTGTGAAGTAGTTTCATGGACTATTTTTAAAAAAAGCACAACTAATATAAGTAAATGTAAAGTTTTCAAGTTTTAAGGGGCGTGATATCAAAACTAAGGACTATCTAGACAATATAACAAATTAATTTATTTATTTTCCACACAAAATATATTATTAAATTTGGTTTCCTTTCATAGTTTACCTAAATTCGAATACTTATGAGAGACACTGTATGTATGTACAATAGGGTCGCCCCGTTTATAAGGAGGAAAAATAAGGTGTCAATGTTCTCACCTAAAATTAAAGTTTAATTGATTCTAAGATACCATTTCTGAAAATTGTCCTGGCGTCAATATTTAGTGAGCTGGATCAAAGAATAAAAAGGTCCTTTTTTGAGGTTTTTATGATTTTTTCATATTTCTTCTAAAGGAAAGATATGAAATATTGCTCCTTGAGAGACGCTTTAAATTGCATATCAGAAATGTTTATGTAACAGCAAAAGTTACATAAACATAATTTTTCGGAAATTTTCAAATTTTTTACATTTTAACACAGATGAATTTAATATAATTCGTTGAAATTAATACATAGTAATCCTCAATAATGTCTGCGGAAAAGATTTTTTTCCGTTTTTCAAAATTTAATCACCAAACCTTTGTACATTATTTTGCAATAATAATGTACATAACAATATACAAACCGTTATTAACAAATCAAGCATAACAAACAAATTGTGTTCATATTTTAGTTAAACTGAAAAATATCATCTATAATAGAATTAAATCATAAAGTGTTATATACCAATTTAAAGCTAATGAAAATGCGTACATAAAATGTACGAATGTACATTTTATTTACGTTAGAGAAATATAGATAGCACAATACCGGGCAAAAAATTAGATTAAAAATATTTAAATAATATTTTGGAAGAAAAACATGTAAATTATAATTCAGTCCAAAAACTTACTATCTTAAATTATTATATTAACTTAATTAATTTATTAAATATATGTATTTACCTATTTCCATTTTAGACATTTAAGTGTTGTTCACGGCTGTACACCGATTTTAAGCCGACGTCGAAATTTTTAGCGTTAGCCGCCGGCGCCGTAAATATTCGTCGTCTCAGCTCTTTGAACGACCCTAAAAAGAAAAACAAATTGTTGCCGAAAAAACGAAAATAAATAAAGAAAATTATTCATCTACAAAATTGATAACAACCGGTAACTTTTAACACGTAGCACAAAGAAAAGCAATTTATCCTTTCTCAGTAACATAAAATAACTTTTTAAACATGTTGAAGGCTGTCATTTTAGTTGGTGGACCGCAGAAAGGTAAGAAAACTCCGAAATAATATGCCAAAGAACTTTAAAATTGTTCCCACTTCTCATCCATAGGCACTCGCTTTCGACCCTTATCTTTGGATACACCAAAGCCGCTTTTTCCAGTAGCTGGTCGTCCTATTATTCAACATCATATTGAGGCTTGTGTAAAGCTACCCGACCTCAAAGAAATCCTTATAATAGGCTACTACCCACAAACACAAATGGAAAACTTTGTTACAGACATGCAAACCTTGTACAGCATTAATATACGCTATTTACAAGAATTTACCTCTTTGGGTACGGCGGGTGGCATGTATCATTTTCGAGATCAAATTCGTGCCGGTAATCCAAAAGCGTTTTTCGTCCTTAATGGTGATGTTTGTGCTGATTTCCCCCTACAGGACCTCTATGATTTTCATACCCAACGACCAGCTTCTGCTTTGGTTACTATTATGAGCACCGAGGCCACTAGACAACAGGCTGTGCATTATGGATGTTTAGTATTTGATCGTGACACTGGCGCAGTTTCACATTATGTCGAAAAGCCTAGTTCATATGTTTCCACTTTTATTAATTGTGGTGTTTATGTCTGTTCTATGGATATCTTTGCTAAGCTATCGGAAATTTTTCACTCTAAGGTGCAAGAGTATAATGGTACTAATTATTATACAAATGGTGGTTCGAATGGTAATGGCAAGGATCAGGGTCATATACAATGGGAACAGGAGGTGTTGACTCCATTGGCGGGCACAGATAAATTGTATGCTATGCCAGTGCCAAATTGGTGGTCTCAACTTAAGACGGCCGGTTCAGCGATTTATGCCAATCGTCATTATTTGGGTGAGTCATGAAATGAACATTTTATCTATTTGTTACACTTTTCTTGCTATACAGAAATATCTATGTATGTATAGAATAATTTAGGTGTTCATGTATCGTAATATGATTTTGTTATTAATATGTTGTTCAACATATGTTAAAGGGTTAAGTAAGATAAGGAAACTTACCAGATTGTCAAAGTTGTTGTTACATACAAACGTAGACAAGAGCCCAGTTCCTAAAATTTGTAGCTCCATACATACAGTGCAACAATGAACACTACATGTTAGGTTACATTTGGACAACAGCACCCATAGAATTTTTTGTTACATTGTTAAAAAGTCTTTAAAAATTATAGAAA